GCCGCCTCCCTCACGGGGGCCCGTATCTCGACAAACAGCCCCCACGCCCTGACCTTCGCAACCAGCCCCCAGACCGTGACTCGGCCGTCCCGCCCCCCTGCCAACCGCCCCTCGGGTAACCCCGCCCCCGAAACCCCAAACCCCATTTTCCCCCGGATCCGGATCCGAAACTGGATCAGACCGGGCCGTGATTGAACACCTTTTGGCGCTTGGAGCCAACCGCTTTGAAGCCACGGATGATGCCGTACGCAGGGCCCTGAAGGCGAGTGTACGACACGCTAGTACATATTGCAAGGGTAATGCGTGTATATCGCCCTTCTGCGCCGCCATGCCTCGTCAGGTTGATACTTTGCTGCTATTGCTTTTGATAATCCTGCCATCGCTATTGCTTATTGCTCGTCCTGCTAATGCTGCTACCGCCGCTGCTACTGCTACTGCCAATCCGCAGATGTCCATGACGCCGTTGCTAAACCAAATGAGTGTTATGGGTATCGTGTCCATTCCAGGTATGTACGGATGTACGACGAGTTAAAGCGTTTGTCATACCAAGGTGGCAATGCCGCGCATTCTGAAGACTGGGGTGTCCTCCACCCACCCTCTTAACGCCTGTTCGCCTTAACCACCGAACTAAAAACTGCCTGCCGTACATTCAGGGATGATGACCGGTCAAATCCTGGCTGGCGGGAATCCAACGCAGGTGGGTCCGCGCAGAACCCAGGTTTCCGTGTTCTGTACGGGTTTTAAGGTTCGTATGTCTTGATTAGGCTCCTTCCTGTTTTTGCTGCATCATAACCGTCCTCGAAGCGGCGGTGGTTGTGGTTGTGGTGGCTTTCATTCTCATCCACAGACTCGGCCCTCTTAACAACCGTTAACCATCCCCCAACTACCCCAACTACCGCGCCGACTACCCGCAGGCGGCTCGCTACCAAATGGTCATCATTTTTAGTGAGATGGCAGAGGGAGGGGGGGAAAGGGGCGGGGAGGGGGGAAGGGGGGGAAAAGGGGGGAAAAGGGGGGAAAGACGGAAAGGCAATGTGGGGAAGGGGGAGAGGAATGAGGTGGGGCGGGAGAGGGGTAAGCAGGAAAGGAATTACACCGCGGTCTGGCGCTGTGTGTGTGTGTGTGTGTGTGTGTGTGTGTGTGTGTGTTTTACCTACCCGGGCAGGTTTGAATGATGGCGCATGCGGTGGGAGGGAAACGGCGCTCAGCGCAGCCTTTCAGTGCTTCCTCTCACTCACCTCCCCAAAAAACCCTCCGTCTCCGCTTTCCCCCCCTCCATTTCTTCTCCCTCTCTCCAAAACCGACTGCCGTACACCGCACCGCCCTCAGTCGTCGTCGCGGCTACGAGCCTGGCGTCTGTCTCGTCCATTTACCTTGCCGTATTCCACGTGGTGGATTCAAATCACACGTTCCGCGTCGACCGCCTCATCAAGAAGCAGCCGCAGCAGCGCGCACAAGGCCCAGGAGGCAGGCTGGCGGAGTGGGCC